TTTTTCAGAAACACTGATGTTCAGAGCATTTGTACTTGCTCTTCTCTCCCTTGCAAACATCCCTCTTCCAGATAACCTCAAAAGACACTTGCATAACTCTTTTAGGTTGCAGCTAGAAGTTTAGTAATCTGAGACCTATTTTAAATTGGCACTCTCTTCCCAAAGGAGCAAATCTGTCTCCCTTGCTGTATTATCCTTCCACTGACTTAACAAAATACTGTAGACTGGGTGGCTTCAAAACAAAAATTTATTTTCTTATGGTTTGGGTGGCTAGAAGTCCAAGACCCAGGCTTTGGCTAATTTAGTCTGCTTTTCTGGCTGTAGAGCGATGTCTTCTTGCTATGTATTTACATGAATTTTTTAGGGAGGAAAAGAGAGAGAGAGGGGGGGGGAGAATGAATCTATATAGTGATTTCCTTTCTTAAGCTTAAAACACAAGAAGGTTTAGAAAGGAAGGAGAGAAATAACTTAGTTTGTAAGCTTACTGGCCAGTACCCTGTATTGCTGCATAACTCTATGACTCTTGTCCACATAATATCTATCAGGATAGTAGGAAAACTTCAGCATATGAATCTTCTAATGAAAGATTGGATTTCATCAAGCAAGTGCAAAAGCCCTGAAATGTATCTGACATAATTGAGGTAAACTAAAAAGACTATGGTTGGAGACTAGAGCAGAAAGGGAGGGATGAGAGGTAGGAGGAAGCCACAGGTAAGGTCAGGTATGTTCTAAAGATAGACGTAAGATTGGATTTCACTGGGCATGAGAAGCAATCAATGAATGTCTCAACATAAAAAAAAAAAAAAAAAAACATTCCTTCCCTGACACCTTCCCAGTCATGCCTCATGTACTGAAATATTAACTCTGGTTTTTATTTTGTTCATTGATCAGTGATCACCAGAGCCTAGAGAATGCTTGATTTAAAGAATGCATTCAAGAAGTTGCTGAATGAGTGAAAACTTATTATTTTAAAAACACTCTTACCACTCCTTCTTCTGGCAGGGTTGCCTGTGAAATCACACACTAGTTGAATATATTTTTAAAAATAGATTTTATTTAAATGGATCAAGATGATCCAGTAGAAGAGAAGCTTCAGCTACACTCTACTTCTGTGTCCTATTTCTAAAAGGCTCTTGTGGTCATCCTGGCTAGTTCTGACATCCTTTGATGCTTATAGGAAGACTTACCAAGGAAAGAACATGAAACTATGCTTTCCAGGAGGTCTGAAGCTAGGAATTGTTACAATGTTGCAGGCCTTTGATTCCCAAATACTTTTTGTGTAGAATTTTATATTTTTTCAAAACAGGAATTATTAAGCATTAATTGTAATGAGTAAAAATCACCAATACTATTTTACTGAAGCAACTTAAGCATAAGTTACAGAAGAATCTTTTTTGTTAGTATATATTTTATTTATTAGAATGGAGATTTTATAAGCTGATTTTTCTATTTACTATTCAAGATTGTTTTACTTATATTTAAAATGAAACTCATCTAATCAGTTTCATTTTATTTTATTTAGCAATTTCTTTGTTATCTATTTTCTGAGGAAAAACTATTTCTAGTGATTTGTGAATCAGAATTAATATCATTATTATGTATTTTTATACCTCACATAATTAAAAATAAAGTGGCATAAAATTTGCTGAATGGTAGTGTTATGTCTATTAATTGGTAGTTTACTCAATGGCTTTCTCAGAAAAGTATAATGAACATTTGGTGAGGATTGTTTGTAGGATTTGGCCAATGTAAAACTATCCTTGAAGAGTAGATTGAGTAAGAAAATTTTGGAGTCAGACATGAATTCAAATCCAGGCTTTTACAAATGTTGGTGTAGATTCCTTAGCTTAATCTAAATTTCCTCATCTTTGAATTAGAACTATTTTTAATACCCAACTCAAGAAGTTGTTTTGACTTAAAATGTTTAATGATTAGTTAATATCTTCTAGCTTCATCTAGGAACTTTCGGTGGAGAAATGTACCTAACCATTAAATGATTGTTAAATACTTGCATAGTTAAGTGTCTCATAAATGTGAGTTATTGCATTTTAATGTGTAAACCCAAAGAATACATGTAGTAGCCATTATCTGATAAAACTTATTTTCTTAGAATAATTTATTATTACTTGCATATTAAATTTTCATAAAATACACTTGATATTTAGCCATTTTCAATATACTTTCTATTATTATTTATATATTTCTTGAGGTTTTTTAAATTATTATTTACATATTTCTTGAGGTTTTTTAAATTAATGATGATGATCTTTCAATAAATGCTTAAATGAAAATGTAAAGAAAAAAAGACTGTTATCTGAAAGACTGTTATGAAATAAATACCCAAATCATTGGTGATCCCCTTTAGGATTCTAAATATATAAGGAAGACCTTTATCTAAGATGTAAAGGCAGTTTAGAAAGATTGTAAGTGATGTTCTAAAGAAACTACGAGTTTTCTTTTGCTTCTAAATTCACATTGTAGAGCATGTTCAGATGAACCAATGTTCAGGCAAATGTGGTTGATTTATGTTGGTTTTCATTATTAAATCAACCTGAATATTAGACCAGAGTCTATGACAGCACCACATTTTTTTTCTTTTCTTTTCTTTTCTTTTTTTTTCAATTTCAGAGATCTTGATTTAGGTCACACTGACGAAAATAAATTAAGATTGGAAGATCATTTGGGATGGGTAGTGTCTTATCTAGTGAAAAATCTAATCAATGCTCCTGCCTCACAGGATACATTTCATTATTCAGTACCAACTGCTAACAGATGGCTGCTGTGGCCCTCAATTGGGGAAGGGGATCCTCAGTTCATTCCTCAGAGGCCACATGTTCCCAGGCAATGTTGCTATCCTGTTTGGCATCACTTCATCTTAAGGCAAAAGAAATTCGGTTAGTGAGGACAAAAATGTATGGGTCATAGTTTAGGTGCATTGTTAGTAAGCCAAAAGAAAATATATGTTCAGAGACCCAGAAGTTGCAGCTTTAATTCTTTCTACTTACAAAACTTAGAGCCCCAAATTAAATTATCTACAGTAGAACAAATCATTATACCAAGTGCAATTTATTAATAATACTTTTTGCAGAGGTAATTTGGTAAAGACCAGATTCCAGGACAGCATACTATTTAGGTAGAAAAGAATTTCAAAGAATAAAATTGTATAACAGCATGAAATATTATTAATTACAATGGAAGGACTTTTTTTGAAATATTCCTCAAGATTATTTAGTAATCAGAATAGGAAATCTTGCTAAATTAGGGTGTACATACAACACATAGGCTTATAAATGTAAGATAGTAGAAAAGATCTAGATTGACACATGTAGCTAATATCAGTCGAAGGAGAGAAACGGTAGTGATGAACATTTACAGTAAGTTTCTTGTGCCTTTCCACATTGATTATTCCACTTAATTCTCAGAGCATCCTTTAAAGTAGTTTACCTTAATCCTCAATTTTTCAGATGTGCTATTATACAAATTATCAAGGTCACACAATCCACACGTATTACAGCTAGAACTCAAACTCACATCTATGGACACCCAAGCCCTGGCTTCATTTTACTAAATTTCAGAAGCAAAATTTATCTTTCTGTCTCTGGAATAATAGTTTGCCTTTTCTTGAGAGAATGACTGTCACATTTTACCATTCCTTCTGACTCAGATCCCTGGCTGCGAGGGTATTTGTCCCTGCTGATAAATGGCAGCAAAGCCTTGGTGTAATAAAGTGGTGGCCTGGGTGGATTGGAACACTGGCTGTAAGTATGACCCCAGCAGTGTGGTGACCATCATGTCGGCATGGAGGACCTGAGGCACTGCCAAACCAGGTACTGCCAAACAAGGTGTGCCACCTGTCTCCCTTTCTGACTAGGTATGGGCACCCAGCTGATACCTGCTGCAGAAGCCCACTCCACACAGTGTTACAGCCAGAAACCGGTGAGCATAGACCATTTTATCATTTCAACCTCTAGTTTACTGACCTGCAACAGAAGAAGTGGAAGAGGGGCAACCTAAATGAACGTTGGGACTCAAGAGTTGACTGATAGTACTTTTCCAAACTCCAATTAGCATAAGTTGGAACCAATGGCATTGGTACTTTTTTGAAACTCTAATTAGTATAGGTTTGGACTAGTAGCAATTAATCAAATGCTATATAAGGCCCTAGACTAGCACACTCAGGAGTAGAAAACCTGCTACAGGGGTCCCCTCCTGCAATGTGAGAGTTCTATTCCTGTTTGTATTCTTCAATAAATGCTACTCCTAAGAGTCATCCAACCTGGTCTGTGGATTTCATTTTTCCAACTCACAAGACAAGAACCTAGAAACAAGAAAAAATTGACAGTGAGCTATTGGGGTCTGATCCAACACTGGAGAACCTGGTCTACCAGTAAGAGCTGCAACACTTCTCAGTTGCAGAGGCCTGCAACCTTATGCAGACCCCACCAGTCAGCAGAAGTGGAGAAATTTCAATCTCATCTACCACCCGAAGTGGGGAATCCAATTTTATCTTAAAACTTCAGTTTCACTTCCACATATCACTTTGAGAAATTTGTTCCAATGAAAGCACAGTGCAGAAATTCTTGCCCACCCAGGGATTTTCTTATGGTAAAAGAAATGCCCACCTATTCTTCACAGTAGAAATAAATCACAGATGGCGGTAGAACATAGAAGCCAGGGAAACCTCAGATATAAAAGCATTCGTGCATTTTATTACTTTTAATTTTTTTTTTATTGGATGAGGCTGTTTAGTAAAAGAGCACAAGAAGAAACTGAATTATCTGCACCAAGGATTGAAGGAGTGGCAGTGGAGGTGGAGGCCAGTTATGAAATGAGTGGAAGCTCTGGACTAGGTGAGACTTTACCCATTTTAAATTCATGCTTATATGCCTTCTGTATACATTTCTTTGGGACCTTATTAATAAGTCTGAGTAAGAAAAAAACATCCAACTTCTCAAACTACAACAAAGCTGTTAGTGATCTTGTAAATAATCTCCTTGATGCTTCTGGACCTTGAGTATAAAACTTCATTAAGTGTATATTTACTATATATAAAAGAAAACAAGTAAATCTATAGAGACAGAGAGAATCTCAGTTGAAAGAGAAGATTATTGATAGTAGCTATTTTTATTCAGGAGTTTGTCAAGTGCATGATTAATTTATTTTATTTACTGTATTATTCAATTTTTTCCTCTGCATATGTTAGTACTTTCACAAGAGATGACTGATAATTAAACTTAAAAAAGAAAGGTGGAAAAGGAACATTTTAGGTCTCTCTATGCCTGAGATATCATAGACAGAACTCTAATTTACAAAGAATTCATCATAATTTGTATTTATTTCTTTTAAATTAAAAACACCTAGAATCAGAAAGAAAATGTGAAAATCAACTTTTTTTAAAAAATTATTTTTTTATTTATATATGACAGCAGAATGCATTACAATTCTTATTACACATATAGAGCACAATTCTTCATATCTCTAGTTATATACAAAGTATATTCACACCAATTTGTGTCTTCATACATGTATTTTGATTAATAGTAATCATCACATTCCACCATCATTTCTAATCCCATTAAATTTGTTTTCTTTTTTCTTTCTGGCACCAAGAATTGAACCCAGGGGCATTCAACCCCTAAGCCACAACCCCAGCCCTTTTTTCTTTTTATTTTGGGACATGGTCTCCCCAAGTTGCACAGGGCCTTTGCTAAGTTGCTGAGACTGGCTTTGAACATGAAATCCTCCTGCCTCAGCTTCCCAAGTTACTGGGATTATAGGCATGCATCTGTAATGTAATTTATGGCCAGCAAGAATGAACTTTTAATGTAAGATTTATATCTACTGGGAAACAGTTAAGAGCTATGTACTTTTAATAATTATCTTTGTTTTCCTGAGCACAAGCTCAAAGATTTAAATAATAACAACAACAACAACAATAATGCCATCCTACAAATGATGGCATTTTTTTTTTTTTTAGTGAAGGAAAATATCTAACATATATAATTTGGGGAGTTGTTTTCTCCTGAACTAATAAAGGAAGTCTTAAAAAAGTACAAAGTAATTATACACATAGGATTCAGTGACAATAGAAATTTAGGAAATGTGCTCAAACAGAATAAAATCAATACTACTGAATCTCCTGTGAACAGTTTTATATATTACTTTATATTCCTTCTAGGGTTAGGTTATTGATTACAAAAATTGCTCCCAAACCTCCTTTCTGAATTACCACACTATCCCTTACTTGTCTTATTTTTCCTTCAGTTCCATGAAAATTACAGCATTCTGGTCAATAAGGATGTAAAATAAGAGGAACAGAATCCAGAATTTAGGCCATTCCCAGAAACTTCACATTTTTGTAGACACAAACACTTTTCTGCGATCATTTTCCTCTGAGAGTTGTGTTTTTAAAGCCTTTTCAAATGAAAACACTGCAAAAATTTTATTTTTCTTACCACATCTCATCGGTTTGTTAGCTATATATACTGGTTTTCATTTTTCAGATGCTTCTATGAATTATTTCATTTATTTACATCACATCTAAAGGAAGAGAGGAAAAATGGTGAGAAATAAGGAGACACTTTTTGCCTGTAGTTAGAAAATATCAGAAAGTCCCTTTGATTAACATTGCCACTTAAAGTCAAGACAAACACTTAAAATCAGTAACCATTCATACTATTGACTCAAATCGGTAGAGCTTAATTTTATTTTCTTACTGCTAATGTTCCAAGTTGGTCTTAATTGCTTTGTGTGTTAGAAGGCCAAAGATAAATTGAATCAGATTTTGATTCATCTAAATATAAAACTCAGATCGTTTTAGTGATTCTAAAGATAATGTGAAATAAAATATTGCCAGCAATATTTCCTGGCAATATGTAGAGGTTGATTAGAACAGACAAGACTTAAAAGTCGTCTTCTGTTTGAGGTTTTCTCTCTCTCTCTCTCTCTCTCTCTCTCTCACACACACACACACACACACACACACACACACACACACACACACATACACATACACAGAGAAACTCATTAACCTAGCTCAGAATAGATTCATTGAAAACCAAAAGTATCCACCTGAATTTATTGTTTATTTATCTACCTGAATTTATTTCTTGGGCCCAAAATGTTATACCTGTCCAAGATTTGGTTTCAATCTCTCTACAATATAATAACATTAATACTTAACAATTAAGAAAGTTTCATAATTGCTTTATTCCTAACTTTCCTGCTGAATTGTTAATTTTTTAATCACAATAGTACAGTTTACTTTGAGGTAGGAATGGAAGTTATGGTATCTAGAAGTTCAAGAAATTAGCATATGGCCAATAGTACACCATTTCCAGATCCCCGTGCCCTCTTTTATCTTTGAGTATCATTTATACATTTCTGACACTATCTGTGATATCCCTGTTGCTTTATTTTGAATCTTGAAGTTCTGTTTGGAAACATGTCACTATGGGAAGTGACCTTAATTTATATTTTTTTAGGATGCTTAGAGAAGCCACCTGATACAAGTGAGATACCAAGGAGGAAAAACATACAGAATAAATTTTGTTCATGTCTCATGATTCTAAGCATGGACAGTAATTATAAATAAATCTTTCAAAGTTCTTCTTATAAACATAATAGGCTTTGTAGTTCCTTGGAAAACCTCAGAAGTGTAAGCTTCCATTATAAGAAAAGTATACACATGCAATAATATGATATTAATTAGTACCTGTGGCTCTGTATAAAAGTTCTGGTGATATAAACATGCATTATGCAAATAACTCACAACTTTGTTGAAAGTGAAAAC